GTTGAACCAGGGGACAACGGGGAGCTGCATCTTGCCGGTCATTCCAAAATCCCAATCCTGTCAGGCTGAAGGCTCGGCTTGCCCGTTGTATCCATCACAAATAAGGTGAATAGTATATAGTATAGATTCCATGATAAAGAACAGAGATGAGCTGCAATAAATCTGTGATGCAATAAATCTATGGTTCTTAACAAAATGTGAGATTGTGTGATTCCAGTCATTTTAAAGGTTAAAGTGTATTTTCATGATTATTGTGATAATTTTGTGTATCGCAATAATTCTGGCCGAGTTAATTGTGACATTACATTTTCATATCATCAAGGACCCTAAAGGTTGCTATCAATGAGATAAAATAACACTGTGATCCAATATTGCAGAGCATTCATATCCACAGATTTGCACCATCACCTGCAATAGTGGAAAACATCCATAGATATTAAAATGATAGCTGCCAGTGTAGAAAACAGTACATACAGGTGTAACATTTTTAAATTTCTCCTGTAGTTCCATATATCCTGTCTAACCGCCCACTCCTTCATCTACCTACATAAAATCCCTGGTGTGTTTCAAGACTTGTGTTTTCCGTGAATCACTTGAACAGCTGAAACAAAACAGCAAAATATTTCTAAAACCAAACGCGACTCTGTACTTATGGTAAGCCACTGAAATTTCTAGGTAATTGATTTCTTGAAATAACTGGGAGCCATCTGAATACAGGGTCAAATCAACTCGGACTACAGAGTCTAAATTTGGTATTCTTTGTTCTTCTGTGCCAATCTTAAAGAGATTAAATGGCGCACACTTGAAGTTCTCCTTTCTGGCACACATCAGTAGTTTGTGTGAGCACTGAGACCAATTCAATTAAATTTTATTTGTATAGCGCCAATTCATAACAGAAGTTATCTCAGGACACTTTTCAAATAGAGTAGGTCTAGACCAAACTCTTTAAAACATTATTTACAGAGACCCAACAGTACCACCATGAGCAAGCACTTGGCGACAAGGGCAAGGAAAAACTGCCTGTTAAAAGGCAGAAACCTAGGACAGATCCTTCGGTTCTAGGTGGGTGGTCATCTGCCTCGACCAGTTGGGGTGAGAGACAGACAGACAGACAGACAGACAGCAACAGTATTGGCAATGGCAATCTAGCAGGACCATGGCAGGAGGCTCCACCAGGATCGATAAGAACCTGCGAGACAAGAAAGCACAAGAACTCCGGGGAAGAAGTGAAGTTAGTAACATGCATTAATGGGACATGAATGAGTGCAGAAAGAGAGAGGAAGGGAGGAGCTCAGCGCACCATGGGAAATCCCCCGATAGTCTAGGCCTATAGCAGCATAACTAAGGGATGGTTCAGGACTCACCTGATCCAGCCCTAACTATAAGCTTTATCAAAGAGGAACGTCTTAAGCCTACTCTTGAATGTGGAGAGGGTGTCTGACTCCCGAACCACAACTGGAAGCTGGTTCCACAGGAGAGGAGCTTGGTAACTGAAGGCTCTGGCTCCTGTTCTACTTTTAGAGACTATAGGAACCACAAGTAGCCCAGCATTCAGAGAACGTAGTGTTCTAGAGGGGTAATAGGGTACTATGAGCTCTTTAAGACATGAAGGGGCCTGACCATGAAGAGCTTTATAGGTGAGGAGGAGGATTTTAAATTCTATTCTACATTTTACAGGGAGCCAGTGCAGAGAAGCTAGTACAGGAGAGATGTGATCTCTTTTTCTAGTTCCTGTCAGTACTCGTGCTGCAGCGTTCTGAATTAATTGGAGCGTTTTTAATAGACTTATTGGGGCAACCTGATAATAAAGAGTTGCAGTAATCCAGCCTTGAAGTAACAAATGCATGGATTAGTTTTTCTGCATCTGTCTGTGATAGTATGTGTCTAATTTTTGTAATATTACGTAAATTAAAGAAGGCAGTCTTAGAGGTCTGCTTCATGTGGGAGTTAAATGACAAATCCTGATCAAAGATAACTCCAAGATTCCTGACAGTGGTGCTAGAGGCCAAGGTAATGCCATCTAGAGTAACTATATCTTTAGACAGTGAGTCTCTAAGGTTTTTGGGGCCAAGAACAAGAATTTCGTTTTTTTTCTGAGTTTAACATCAGAAAATTGCAGCTCATCCAGGATTTTATGTCCTTAAGACATGTTTGTAATTTAGATAATTGATTCATTTCATCGGGGTTGATCGATAGATATAACTGCGTATCATCTGCATAACAGTGAAAGTTAATGGAGTGATTCCTAATAATGTTGCCTAAAGGGAGCATATATAAAGTATATAATATTGGTCCAAGTACAGAACCTTGTGGAACTCCATGACTAACTGTAGTATTTATTGAAGACTCATCATTAACATGTACAAACCAAGAACGATCTGATACATATGACTTAAACCAGCTTAGTGCGGTTCCTTTAATGCCAATTTTATGCTCAAGTCTCTGTAAAAGAATATCATGGTCAATGGTGTCAAATGCAGCACTAAGATCTAATAATACAAGTACAGAGACAAGTCCATTGTCTGAAGCAATCAGAAGATCATTATTAACTTTAACCAGAGCTGTCTCTGTGCTATGATGAACTCTAAATCCTGACTGAAAATCCTCAAATAAACTATTGTTATGTAGAAAGTCACACAACTCTTTGGCGACTACTTTCTCCAGAATCTTAGAGAGGAAGGGGAGGTTAGAGATTGGTCTATAGTTAGCTAAAACCCCTGGGTCAAGAGTGGGCTTTTTAAGAAGGGGTTTAATTACAGCTACTTTAAAGGACTGTGGTACATATCCTGATAATAAAGAGAGATTAATCATATCCAGTAAAGAAGTGCCAATTAAGGGAACAACTTCTTTAAGCAGTCTAGTTGGGATCGGGTCTAACAGACAGGTTGATGGCCAGAACTTTCTTTTTTTCTGTGGCTTCATATAATGCTTTTGCAGATCAGTAAACAAAAGATTAGTGCTGTTACCAGTTTTTCACCTCCATATGAAGAGCTGTCAGGTCTCCATGTATCTTAAGCAGCAGGTGACAAGAACAAATCAATGTTTTCTTTGAAGCAACATTTCTCTGCAACCTATCATCATACATAGCTTCAGTTGTGATATGTTTAGTTGAAGGCCAGATGCCCACCGGACTTATTACTTGGATTGGAGGATATCCTTTGAAACTGTTTACTTAAGTTTGTAAAGAACTGTTGTGAAGCTCAGTGTGGTCAGCTCTGGCCATCGCCATCTTGGCAGTCCTGACTCTGCCAGCTCCCGGCTTATCCAAGGGGATAAAGGTCACTTACTGTAAAGGGCTGTAGCATTGATAACACAAGGCGCTGTCCATATCGCTTAAGCACCAATTGCATTAAAATCTAGGTGATCAACATAGTTCTGCAGATCCTGATTTCATTTAATAATGCGTAAGGAACTTTAAAGGAGTCATATTATGCCCCTTTTCAGACTCATAATTGTATTTTGTGGCTCTACTACAATAGGTTTAGATGTTTTAATGTTCAAAAAACAAATTATTTTTCTCATACTTCCTATAGCTGAGCACCTCTTTTCAGCCTGTCTGAAACGATTGGTTTTAGCTCCTGTCTCTTTAAGGCCCCCCTCCCAAAAAGCCCAGTCTGCTCTGATTGGTCATTGCCAGTGTTGTGGCAGGTAGCTCTTCACTGTTACTGAGTTTATCTGCATTTCTACCGTCAATATTAATTCAATAACTGCTTCTAAACCAAAACCTTTGCCACCGGACATGTTAGAGCGGGAGTCTGACCTGAAACCACAGAGAAAGGAACAACATCAACAATCAGGATTACAGCTTTCTGTGACGTTTTCCTCAGGTAAATACTGCTAACGCTATTAATCTCTCTCTATCACATAATGTTAGTGTTTATACCTTAACTATGAGAACCAACACTGTTTTATGCTTGTCTTTACAGGTACAGCAGTGAGCAGTGACCTACAGTCTACAGAGCCCAGTGATGATTATTACCATTATTACATAATATTAACAACATTAGTCAAGCAGTTGTTTCTAGTGAAGAAACACCCAGTAAAGGTACCAAAGTAATCAGAGTAATAGTATAATGAATACTGTAACCTCCCATCTGTTATCTTTATACACATTAGTTTACTGAGACCATGGAAACAGAAACCTGGAATACTTTATCCTGTACAACATGTCAACATAACTGAAGGAATCACTCATCTAATAAAGTAACTTGTTTATGTGGTTTAAAAACTGCTAAGTAACCAACTGTTAACTGTACTGTATCCATATTTCATAGTCTGATATTTTAACTTGAGACTATTATTACCAAAGTTCACCTTCAGATATTTGTAAAAGCTGCAATTGTGTTTTAACCCCTTTCAGATACAATATTCAGTGTGTGTATGTATGTGTGTGTATATATATATATATATATATATATATATATATATATATATATATTATATAATGTCATTTATCTGTCAACATAATAAAGTTTGAATGTGAGACTGTAATGTGTTGCTTACAGTCATTTACTACAGGTTGAAATTTCACATTTTCATATTGATAGATGTTACAGGAACCAGGTTTTCAACTCTTGTACATGAAGGGAAATCTTTATAAAACCTCTGTGAAATAACACGTTATTTATATATAACCACACTTATTAATGAATTTAAAAATGACCAAAACTCTTCTTAAAAATAAAACACTTTATTTATGTTTCATTCATATTCCAGTTACACATGTTGTAAGTAACAAAGCTAGAACTTCTATGTAAACTTTGCAGATCGCGTCCTTCAGGCTGTCCTGATGCTGCAGCTGTCTCTGTCCTCTGATGGGTCCAGGAACACCTGAGCTTCATCAGCTCACCTGTAAAACAAGGCAGATTCAGTGTTACTTGTAAGGCAGCACATAATATACAGTGTAATATAATACAGTACAGCAGCTCATTGTGGCTCAAAGTAGTCCTAAGTTATAAAATAAAATAATAAAGTGGTGTCTCTGGTGGGTCCCCATTTAACTGTAGTGATGTGTTGTTGAAACAGTCTGAGGTTACCAACACAATGTCTATCTAATGGCAGCAGATACACACACAGGACATTTACTGACCGTAGCTGATGTTGTGACAAGTTCCCGGTGCAATAACATTAAGCAGTGAGCCTCTGTGTTGTTTATACAATAGGAGATGATATGAATATGAGATGTTACACTGGACCTGCACTTACATTGTCAGTAATACCAGTACTGCAGTAACGCTAAATAAATGGATCAGAAAACTTTTATTAGTCGGTTTGACTCCACAAAACAGCCTAGAGAGCATCGAAGTTACACAATATTACTAAACTAATGAATCCCTGCAGTTTGACTATTTCTCTCTCACAGTAGCTCTATCGTTAACTCCGGTGCACGTAGATCAAGTTCATTTACACAGCACACACACACACACACACACACACACCATAACACAGACACGAGCCAACCAGAAGTATGGCTCTTGAAAACAACAAAGCTAGCCCCAGCTGGTTAGCACGTTAGCAAGTTACACAAGAAGTAAATAATCACCATAACTCACTCCCGGTATTTTGGTAGCTTCTAACGAGGGTTATCGATCACACTGCCCCTCATATTACATCATAAAGTCCGACAGACTCAGTAACTATAGTAACACAGTGACATCACAGAGCTGCTGTGTGCTAATCAAAGCTACAATGCTACCAAACTAATTACCTCCGCTGCTGAATTTATACACACAGTAGTACGGTGTCTTCTTCTGATCACAGCTGTATTGATCCACACGGTGAACAGATACTGAGCTACCCAGCAGATTTGTAAGTTACCAGGTTAAAGACAATTAAACCTAACTGACGTTATCTTCCCTGTCCTATGCAGCTCAACCCGTGCAGGGAGACCCCCCCCGCACGAAGCTTGGTGCTTCACGGCATAAACTTTGTGTGAATGTCTATAACAATATCAGCAGGGAGAATATGGAGACATCTGCACCAGCTGGTTAATAAATTAACTTCACCTTATAAGTTTCATGTTCATCTTGCACACATTTAACAAACATTTAACAAACATTTAACAAACAAAATAACTACGTTATCTTCACTGAGGCTCCTGTAGCTAACAACTGTTATTATGTGCTAGCATTACACGAACAATGAAAAACAGCATCAATTCTTAAAAATACTTACAGTGACTTCCTCTGCCGTCTCTCCACAGACAGTTGGTACAATCCCTCTTTCAGGAACAGTCTTTCAGTCAGTCCAGTGTTGTACTGACCGAGGTTGTGAAAACAGTCCGACACAAAGTGGTTCACACACCTTCCGGTTTTCCCGCGGGATATTGCCGTCAAAAACCAAAATAAATCCACTGTGTTCATACATATATAAATTAGTGTTGGGCTGTGCAGCCAATGACTGAACAGTTTCCCTGCTGAAGCCTTTGCCCAGACATTGGACTGCAGGCTGCAGGCTGGGCTCGTTTGCTTGTTCTCTGCTAGCTTGCGCTTTTATAGTAACAATGGCGGAGCTCCGATAGTCAACAGGAAGTAAACCGCGGTGGGTGGCAACATGCAGACTAAATGACGTCAAAAAGTCTGGACCTCTGAAATTGAGTGATTTATCTCGTGTATTAGGACTTGAGGCAGCCCACAAAAACACGACTGAGTCCTATTTTTTCACACTTTGCCTGCTGATAGGCCCTCCAGATTCCCAAATGTACATAATCAAATGATTAAAAAGTTGGTTTTGCATAATATGTCCCCTTTAAACTGTGCCTTAATTTAGCAATTATATTAATTTTCATTTTGAATCCACTGAGCCGGGGCCATTCTTTGTACTGTCAGTTTCTTCAACTAACAATGGCCTTGATAAGCAACATGGTCTGGTGGTGTAACTTGTTTGTGTCAATTAGCGTAATCAATATTTTTATGATGATATACAGAAAGAAATGTGCAATAAAATCAGTGTAATAGTTTCACACTTTTCACATAATTTGTCAGATTATTTAGAAAACAGAGGTGTTTGTAGCATATGTCCTGCTCAATTGTGTGTGTGTGTGTGTGTGTGTGTGTGTGTGTGTGTGCATGCTTCAGGCTCACAGGAACCGAGAGGGTCTTCTGATGACTGATAGAAATGTCCCATTTAACTTTCTAAGCTTACTTAGTGTGTTTGTTTGTGTATGCCCCTTGTAGGCAAAAGACAATCAGTTATCAACCCTTACTCTGTGATTTCTTTATGCTGCCACTTGTTTGTGTCATTATTGTGTACAAATCAAACTCTAATATTCCTTGCATACAGGAACAGTACAGAGTTACCTGCTTAGGTTAACCACTGATGGCGTACACAGGACTGGATTTAGTAATATTAAGGGTACTCTAATATTGCAGTTTGAAGGACCTGGTTTGAATCCAGGTGCCTTTCTTTGTGGAGTTTGTGTGATGTACTAGTACCTGGACTGGTTTCCTCCTGGTGTCCCAGTCTCCTCCCACAGTCCAAAGACATGCAGGTTAGGTGAACTGGCAGCCCTCCACTGCCTGTAGGTGTGAATGTGAATGGTTGTCTGTATGTGTCAGCACTGTGATCCACTGGTGACTGTCTAGGTGTACCTCAGTAAGCTCCAGCCTCCCATGACCCTGCAAATGATACAACAGATAGTTCCTATAGTCTCTAAAAGTAGAACAGGAGCCAGAGCCTTCAGTTACCAAGCTCCTCTCCTGTGGAACCAGCTTCCAGTTGTAGTTCGGGAGGCAGACACCCTCACCACATTCAAGAGTAGGCTTAAGACATTCCTCTTTGATAAAGCTTATAGTTAGGGCTGGATCAGCCTTTTAACAGGCAGTTTTTCCTTGCCCTTGTCACCAAGGTCTTGCTCATGGTGGTACTGTTGGGTCTCTGTAAATAATGTTATAAAGAGTTCGGTCTAGACCTGCTCTATTTGAAAAGTGTCCTGAGATAACTTCTGTTATGAATTGGCGCTATACAGATAAAATTGAATTGAAAAATTGAATTGAAATTGAATAGTGGCTGTTGTAATATTGTCATATCATGTATGTTGGTATGGGACAGGTTTTAGGAGTACTGGTAAAATTTGTTTTAGGTTTAAGTGATTTAATTGAACTGTGATTGGCTTATAGACATATGCACAGATAACAGCACCAGGTATTGGGTCTGATACTGTGCTCATGTACTCGTTGTACTACTCTGATATCGCACAAGATCCCACTTTACAGCAGTGTGATGTAACCTCGTAACCTCTCGTTAGTTAAGCAGGTAGGTGGAGGAGAAGCAATGTTAGCAGTTTGGAGATATTTTAAGCTTTTACAACAGCATTAGCGTCATTTAATTTGTTAGTGTCAGAAAGTGTGGAACATCATTAAATACTATTTATCGGCACCCAAATGTAAGTACTTGTATTTGGTCTGAAAAGAAGTGGTATCGGTGCATCATTTGACAATAATCATAAATTTAGACATCCTAGAATGGACGTGATATCTGAACCGGATACAGAGGTGGCGCTGGGTTCATTAAGAGCTGGTCAGTGAAAAACAAAAAAGACACTTCCCGCAATAACGAAATTACCCGGATGAAGCCCACTGTCAAAAAGTGTACCAGAGACTTCCAGTTTAGCCCTCCATTAACTTGAATAGGGATAAATGATTTAATTGTGTGGCTTCTTCTTTCACTTTCAAAATGTTATGGGACTGAATGGATCAAATTCAAATGAAATTAGTTGTCACTGGGGCTGTGATGATCAAAAACATTTATTCACCGTTTTACAGCCTCTTCTTTCACATTGTAACTTCATGGGAAAACGTCTTTTTTGGCCAGTGTGCCTTACATGACAGATGCCATTGTTGTAATTACACGGTTTGGCCATGATGTCAAATTGGCTTCAAAACCCAGCGCTCTTCCTCGGGGCTTGATCTGAACAGGAACTTTTTCTCACTAGTGCTCATATGATACCAGATAGGGCTATGTTTTGGCAAGAATCTGGTGATACGATATATATTACAATACAGGAGTGATCTGTTGTGATATTGTAAGCAACATAATATATATTGTGATTTTAGAAAAACTAGTAACCATAGTAAACATAGTACAAAGAACACACCACATTATGCCTAAAATCTGAGTAAAACAAAGTCTACTTTTGTAGTGTTTTTAAGAATTGATACAATACCACAAAACTAAATATTGCGATATTGTATTTTGATATTTTTCCCTAAAATCACTACTGATACCAAAAAAAAATTTTATTTAACAGAACAAGCCACGTTTCTCATATGAACTACAGTCTCAAACTGCTAAAAACTATTGAAATCAGGAACAATCTGGTCAAAGAATAAATAATGAACAGTTTGAATCTGTCCAAGCATTTATTCTAGCTTCCAGGACTCAACCGTTTTTGAGAGTGTATGATACTCAGGCTCAGACACATTGGTTGGTATCAATAAAATACTGAGGTTTAATACCCACCCCCATTTGTTTTCAATGTAATCATGCAGTAAAAAAGGTTGCATGAAAGACAGAAACAGTGGCTGGTAAACATTCCTGCAGGCTGTGGACTGTACACCACAAAAACTAGCTGCTATGTTCAATAATATTTGTTTGTTCGTGTGTGCATGCCTCAGCCAAGATTTCATTAAAGCCTTAAATTAGAAGCATGACAGAAAAAAATGTAGGATGTTACATAACCTAGGATAGTGAAGTCCTTCACATGTTGTTTTTATGTCTCCACAGTGATGACCTCTTTTAAGTTAAAAGGCGACAGGGTTTTGGCTGTTTTGTGTCGGTCTGTTGAGCTGAATCTTTTTTGGGGTGGGGGGGGTGGCATTTTTTGTGTTGAGATGTTTTGGCTGAGGGCAGGGATTAAAATGGCTTAATGGATTATCATATTAAACCACTGAGATGATTAGCTCCCAAAAGCGCAGCAGTCCCCTACCTACTCATAAATAATAACACAAAAGCCCCGCTCGCTGTCTGAAGCAGATTCCTCTCTGCTACACCAAAACAAGCCTCAGACGCAGACCACAAAAACAACTTCAGCTGGAGCCAAGGTCACTGCCATGCACAATTACACTGAAAGACTCTGTGGACACTAGCGTACATGTAGACTTTATTTACAGACTGAACGGTACTAGTACAGTACACTAGTAACTGAAGACCACAGGCCTATTATAAATACTTTTCTTTTTGTCTTGCATGAAGATATAGTGAGTCGATGTGGGTTTGTCAGCTGTCAGAGACTCTCCCAGTTCCTCTGGTAGGATTAGGCCCTTGTGGGCAGTGTTATAAATCATTAAGCAGAACTTTTTCACGACTGTTGGAGTTTTGAATGATTTTTGCATTCATGTGATGTAGTACCTTGATTTGTCATAGAGCTGAGCAGCTATTTGTTCCAAAGAAATTGTGACTTGAAAGAGTGCAATTTTCCCACAGGGGCCAGAAAAAAAATGTAGCGTCCTAAAGAGACTAAATTCCAGTCAAACCTGGAACTTTGGAAATATTCTATGTTGTCCTGGAAATGTTAAATCGTATCGTAGTTCCTCACTCGCATTGCTGAATTTTCTGTAAAACCAGAGAAATTCATATTGCTCCACAGTCAGCCTGAAGTATCACAGAAACCGGGGTGAGTTCATGGACCAAACTATGATACTATGTCTGGCTGCAGTCTATGCTCCAGATCAGTGATTCAAGAGACAAGCACCCACCTGTCACTCAAAGCAGCCACACTCTTAATTATGCATCATTTTAAGTCTTAAAGGTCCAGTGTGTAACACTTGGGAGGATCTATTTTCAGAAATGGAATATAGTATTTATAGGTTGGTTTCGTTGTTTGCATAATTACCTGAATCTAGGAATCATTAATTAATTAAAATTACCCGTTTTTTAAATACAGATACTGTGGGTCACCTTTCTTCTACAGTATCCAGAAGGGACAAACCAGACACTGGCTTTAGATAGGAGTGTTTGCGTAGTAGTTTCTCCTTATGGGCTTAAAAGGGAAGGGTGAAGAGACGGTGTTGCGATGTACAACTACACTGCTGAATCACACTGGACCTTTTTAATATAATTTAAACAGGAGAGTTGTATAAAAATTCACCCCCTGTACAGGAAATAAGCTAGAGACCAAAACCCCCTTTTTGTTCCAGGCTGTAAACATAAATGTAAAGTTGGGCATTTTAATATAGGGCAGCCCTTCTGGAATCAGACTGTACTGGCTATTAGAGGAACTGCAGATTTTGGCAGGTTGCTGATTGGTTCTCAACTTGCTAGGTTTAAATTCCCTAGTATGGCAGTTCAAAGTTTTTTGACAAAGGCCTGATGTTTCAGGTTGTAATGTCTGCTGGTCATATTTGTATCCTACATTGCAGTAAATAAAAGCTTAAGAAAACCACAATGTACTTTAAAAAAGCAAAGCATGGCTTTTAATATGTAAATAAGCTGTGTGTGGTGGAGCTTGCCTAGAGTCAGCGGTTTGAAGGGAAGCTCTCTGATCCTTTTATCACACACAGTATAGGCCCAGATAGGATAAACACACGTCTGCCATTCAAACTCTGGGTCTGCAAAAGCTGCACATTTTTAATGAGCCTGTTTCCAAGCAACAACTTCATCAGGTTTCCACCAGAGGAAAAAAAACAAAAAACAACTTAATAGGGCCCCTGGGTGTCATTTCCCATCATCAGCTGTGGGACAAATCTGAGACAGGTAACAAATTAATCTGTGAAACACAGGAGCCAGAAATTGCGTATTTGTAGACAATTAAGCACCTGCTGTGTGTGTGTGTGTGTGTGTGTGTGTGTGTGTGTGTGTGTG